TAATCATTTTTATCAGTAGATATGAAATATGTTATAAGTTATAATTTATAACTATTGATTTAAGCACGAAATTCCTTTACCAAAAATTCTATTATACAATAATATCTATTAAATAAAATTACCTGGTTATGTGAAACGAGCAGGTTATATTTTATTGATTTAGATTTATCATATTAGATTTTTGTTCAAAAGTGTATAGTCGGTGAACGAATTGCATTGTGCTCGCACATTCACGCATTTTAGATATTTACTGTAAAATAATTTTGTATAATCTTAATAATATGGAAGATTTTAATCCAAAAAGTGAATTTTATATTCGAATGAACAAGTATTATTTGGACAAACCGGGAAAAAAGCCATATACAAATATGAAGATTGAGACAATTATGGCCGAAATTACTGATGCTAAATTAAACAAGTACCTACAAAATAGATAATTTGACCACCCATTAATCGTGAGTATCGGTAACTAATTTAAATTTAAATTTCACAGAGGTGCAAAGAAAAGACGTGATTATTATATTTTACAAAAATATGATGTATTAACTGTGGCCGAGAAGAAATATTTAATTCATAAAAAAACTGACGACAAAGATGATATAAAGTAAGATATATTTATATCTATAAAGTAAATAAGTAATTAAAAACAAATTGCGTACGAAAACCATACTGCGATGGCCGCTGCGCTACAGTTCAAGAGCGATCACTGTGCTCGACCGAAGGCTTGCCAATAAATATTACGAATGTGCCCTACAGAAAGTGGAAATCCGACGCTATGGCACGTTGCACGTGAACATTTATACGTGTCGTAGCGCCACGTAGATAAATAAATAAATGATAATATACATTAGGTATGTTATAGGTATGTTGTGTCATATGAAGAATTGTTCGAAAGACTAAGTGATTATCATATACGTACTGGACATGGTGGTATGGGGAAAATGCGTGCGGCACTGTCCAATAAATATTCGATTCCAAGACCAGCTATTGAAACTTTTCTATCAATATGCGCAATTTGTAATAGTAAGAAAGGGTCAAATCGTAAATTGGTTATCAAACCAATTGTAAGCAAAGACTTCAACGAGAGAGGTCAAGTTGACTTGGTGGATTTCCAGTCATTACCTGACGGAAAATATAAATGGATTTTAAACTATCAAGACCACCATACAAAATTTATATCTTTATTTCCACTTGAAAGTAAACGAGCGGTCGAAGTAGCATCTAATTTACTCACAATTTTTTTAACTTTTGGTGCACCGAAAGTTTTACAAAGTGATAACGGTAGAGAGTTTGTAAATTCTGTTATTAACGAAATTAAGGAACTTTGGCCGGAGTCAGGGAAGTATTGAACGTAGCAATCAGGATGTCGAAAATATGCTTCGAGCATGGATGAAGAACAATAAATCTAAAAAATGGTCTGTGGGATTGAAGTTTGTCCAATTCCAGAAAAACTCTTCACACCACCGCATAATTGGCCGATCTCCTTACAAAGCATTATTTGGTTGTGAGCCTAAGGTTGGATTAACAACATCTAATTTACCACAAGAAGTTTTAAAAAAATTAACAGCTGAAGAAGATCTGGAAGAAATATACAACCAATATGAAGAAGAAATACAAGAACAAATAAATGTTAAACGATATTGCGGAATTTGTAAAATTGAATCCACAGAAGACTTTTGTGATTTGTGTAAAACAAATCAAAAAATAGAAGAAGAACGTGAAGCAGCGCATATAGGTCAAAACAAAGCCGCCAAAAGAATGTTACAGGTATCTAATTATTTATTATTTATAACAATTTGACATATATAGTAAATAAATTGGATGTGTACAATATATTTAAGTATTTTTTTTTTTTTTTGTTATTTGTTATAGATTATAATTCCTACGTTCAATATTAATGACTGTATCACAATTCCTGTTCCAAAAGTCGATAGAGGGCCTTTGGACCCAGCACGCATAATTGCTGTTATAGTTGAGAAAAAAAATGAGTTGTATAGAGTAGGAACTGAACATGGTTTAATTAAAGGATGGTTAAGTTCTGGAAATATGCAGCGTACCACATCACATTTCATATCTGCTAATCAAGTTGACAAGCAAAACGAATTAACTTTGCGTGAAACAGTTAAAATTATATCTGGAGGTCAAGGATTTTTGAGTTGTACATGTAAAAGGGCTTGTCAAACTAAACGTTGTGCTTGTTTTAAAAGTAGTATTAAATGTAACAGCCGTTGCCATAATTCATTGAATTGTTTAAATAAATAATTATTAACTATACGATAAATTATATTATATATAAGTTATTAAAATTATTATATAATTTATTTAATTACCTACATATTACTACTTTTATTATTAATTATATCAAAACTAAACTTAATGTAATATACTTACCATATTACACAATGTAACAAACAAAAATTATTATAAAATTTTGATAAATATAAAATATTTTTTCAGTACACAAAGTGAATGACCAGATTGTGAAAAAAATTACACGATGTCAAATTGGAACGACCGTTTCATGAAAAAGTGACCATATCATGAAATATTTCCGTATTTCACGAAGTGTTAAAAAGTTGTTTCCATTTCATGAAATGGTCAACTTTTCATGAAATGGTCAATTTCACTATGTGGCTACGACATATATATATATTACAATTCTTCATAACCGTTAAGAACTCTGAATTCACAAACATATTTTTTAAAAAGAGTTAGTAATTGAAAATAAAATTAAAAAATCACAAATTTCAAATTATTATAAACCATTATTCAGTTTCTTGTGCAATCATCGAAAACTTAATGAAAAAGTACATCACTTAATATTATAGTTTTTTATTATAGTTGTTTTATAGTGTATCTATAGAATTGGTTAACAAATTGAGAACTTCTTGTCTAAATAAAATATTGTAATGAGTTCGGGGTTCTGATTATTATTATTATCACAACTTAATTTAAGCGGACTGCCTACCTCGTGGGTTGCCAGAAAATACAGTATACATAATCAATATTAATATACATAATTTTATTGTAGGATTATAGAAATTCAGCTTAACATCGAAATTAATTAGGTATCTAATGAAAATAGACTTAAAGCAAAATAAAATAAAATTTACATTTAAGAGAAAAATAAAATACATAAATAGAGAAATAAAAATAAATACAATCAACGTACATATAATAATAATATAATAAATATATAAAATAATAATAGCTTTATCAATTCAGTTGAAAATTTATAATATAAATTGTATCTTTTAAAACTGACCAGTGGCGTATTTACGGGGGTCGATCTGGGTGATATATCACCCCCCAGAACCTTTTTTTTTATTCATTTCACTTTTCTTATATTTCTTTTAAATGCTTGAGCCGTAAGTCCGTAATGGATTCTTAGTATTTCTTAGTATTCCATCAGTCCGTTATCAATAGAAGTTAATAATAGACATAGACAGTTGTAGACAATATAGTTGTTATTAGTTTCAAGAAAATCGTGAACATTAGATACGTTATTATTATAGTTTAATATCCTTATGTTCATGGTTAGTTTATGTATCTATTAATCAATTATATCTGTGATTATTTAATTTATACTATATTAACGATAGTGCGTAAACCATGTATTCAGTGTTCACATTTGCTCTCAGTCCTTTCGTGTAATCGTGTCTCGTTTAAAATTAACTGATCGGTGAACAGAATTTTGACATTATTTTGTGATCTAACTTATTATGAAATAAAATAATGTTTTATAAAAGTGCATTTTACGGAAACTAGAAAAATATGATAACAAGATCCTCCTAGAAGATATTTGCCCCATTGGCTCCAAATGTACAAAATAGTTGTGGTTATATCACCTCCTAGAAAAAAATCATAGATACGCCACTGAAACTGACAGAAATATTTTTGTTAAATATGAATTACTTAATCCATTGGTTTTAAAGACATTTTTTAGAAGACAAAATGCGGTACCGTGATCTCCTAACCGTAGAACCAAAAATTGGCAAGTGCTGAGTAAATGCGATAAACTGAATTACTCATTAATTCTGTCTTCGGGCAGGCGTCTCAAATGTGTGGTAGTATTTTAACGATATTATTCTCATTGCAAACTTGATGTCTACATTAGTGGCTACCACTCACGCTACGACCTCCTGTTCCTCAGTTTGAAATTGAGTTCATCGACGTTTTTATCATATTTGTCCTCCGCTTGATAAGCCGTTTTTAATTGATATCCAAGTGTTAGTTAGGGTAAACTTGTCGTAACAAACAACGCCTATACCTCTCTGAAATAATTGCTTCCATTTATTAAATTCACCTGCTCGTAATTCCGAACGGATGTCTTGCATATTTTGATCTCTTACGTTCAAGCATTGACGGCATTTGCTAATTTCATCTGTACAATTTCAGACCATGTTTAGGTGCGAGTCATTTATCTTAGAAAGTTTTTGAGCAATAGTAAGGTGTTGTGATGAAGCTTCCCAAGATTTTCACAGCATACTCGTACTTAGGTTATGAACATCGCGTCCATTGTAATATACTGTAATAGATAGGAGTATCAACTAGTAGTGCACATATCTCTCTAACAATTTTTCGTATGTGTATGTTTACACGTTTAAGAAATGGTTGTTGTAGAAGGTTTACAGGGGTTGTTTGGAGGAAGTAGATAAGTTTCGGGTAGGCGTATTGGTTCAAAATGTTGATTTTTTTTTTTGTCACTTTTTAGAAGAGGAGAGGTGAAAAGATTTTTTAAATCGTTTTCTAGATTTATAAGAAATTGCTTCTGATCAAAAAACGATTTTATCTTTGAAATTTATTTCCAAGAATTTAATGCAATCATTTTCATCGAGCGATAGAATTTTGGAAGAATCTAGTAATTTTATTATTTTTGGAGTTGACTTTCTTTTTTTGATATTAGTTACGTAAGATTTTGATGGATTGATTTGCATTCTCACTGAAGAAAATAAGTCTTTGGTCATTTTGACCAGTGTATTAACGCTTTCTAAATTTTTAGCTATGATCTTTGTATTATCGGCAAATCTTAGTCCATTGGCTTTTAACATTACATATTATGAATATATATTACATAATATATTTCTTAACAACTAGTTATTTACAATGAGTTCATTAGTTTGAATGAATTTATAAAAATAACAAACGACTGTATACTGCCTGGGTTGAGAGATTCCAACAGCACGTGGGATAGTTCTACTTTTCGTCTGTCCCTCTCAAATAATTGGTATTTGGTTAAGATGTGTTTACCGTGAGTGGTGTGCCGTAACTGGTACACATTGGAGATTCTTCATTATTCATTAGGTACTGGTGTGTGTGTGTGTGTGTGTCGTGTGTTTGCTTCGAAGTCTGTTAATGGACGTTTACGTTTTTCTGTTGATATCAAGTGAAGATGGTCATGTATTTGTACTATTTTATGTTGTTTAATTTTGTTGTTTTCTACGTTCATAACTGCTGCTATAATTCGTTGGTGATTTTTCTTTTGTTTGGACTTTTGCATCGTGATATAATTTTGTTTTGATTCACTTTTGAAATAAAAGAAGTAATAATATTTTTGGAATTAAATCTACTGCGCAGTGCGCATCATTTATCATTATGATGAATGTTCAACAAAACTGTTTATTATTACTTAAACAATTTAAAAGAGTACAATTATTTTTATGTTATCTAGGTATTAATAATAATTAAAAAAATAAAAAGATTTTCGTGTAATGTTTTGTAATTTTTATTATTATAATTAAAAGAATATTTGTTACATGAGAAATAATTACTAATTATGAAATTAAATAAATAACTACTGTTATTAATTTAAAAATGAAGATTTCATTTATCATAAATAATTATTTAATATTTTTAATGTTACTATATTGAAATAAATTATAATTAGTTCTTAGTAATTAAATTTTGTATTTAAGTTCATAATATGTTTTAGTTATACAATAAGTAATACATTTTTGTTATCAATTCATAATTTAGAAGATTGTAATAGTAAAATAATTGATGAAATTATTGGTTAAAAAAATTAAAATTCCATATAATATTTATAATTAAATAGTTGTAAGTACATTATAATACTAAATAATACACTAAATTGAGTTTTTCAGTAAATTTATATGTACACTTAATAAACACTATTTATTTACATACATTTTTGAAACACTATTTTATTTTTTTTCATAATATACTATCCTTGGTCATTAATTATGTTAAGCAGTTTATAAATAATTTGGTAGAAACGGTTATTAGAGAAAAGAATACATTATAAACTATAATAACTGTGTATAAGAATTTATTTTTAGTATTTAAATGAATAAATTATAATTTTATTAAAAACATTTAAATTGTGCACCCAAAATACAAAATATATGTATTTATTATAGATATACATAGCAGGATAGTCTAACTAAACTGAGTCTACTCAAGCTCGATTTTACTCTACAGTGTACACTGTACAGGTAACTTTAGTGTTAATTACTTTTAATATTTTTAATTATGTTATCATCTCAATTAAAAGTAATATATTAAATCTAATAACAACACCGATCAATATTATTAGAAATTATTATTAATATAGGTACCATTATTTTTCCAGAAACCACTGTCATTGGTAGTGTAAAACGAAGTATAGTTTTCAATGTCAAAGACAGAATTTGCTTTGATATTGTATTGTATACATTTTATCCGGCCATTTGTTGAACATTATTATATTACAAGTCTGAAAAGAGTTTAACTCGTTACTTGGCAAATGGAGGATATTATTTTACATTTTGCTAGATCCTATCACATTTTTAAGTTTTATCAGGAAAAATTATTATTTCAGTTTTATAACTAATATATATATATATATATATATATATATAAAGTTAAAACCATGATACACGAGAAAAAAAAGTTTTTATTATTATTTTAATTCGACGAAACTATAAATATTTAAATGTATAGTTTACTTTATAATGAAAACTTCTATAACGTTATTTGATTATTTTTGAGTATCACAATAACTTATAATCATTTATGTTAGTTTAAAAATATCTCGATGGTAAACTTTTAGCATAATTGTATTATATTCTGAACATTTTATTATATATGTATATTAATATACGAGTACATATGATAATAACTTATTTATCACAATATTAGGTCAATAAATAAATTTAAACTATATTTAAAATAAAACTCATTGATAATTTTTTTGAGATTATGAGATATAAATATAAAACTATTTAATTTCTAATACTGATCTTCAGATCAGGTTGTAACGA